CCGAGGCTTGCTCGCCGAGGCTTGCTCGCCGAGGCTTGCTCGCCGAGGCTTGCTCACCGAGGCTTGCTCGCCGAGGCTTGCTCGCCGAGGCTTGCCCGCCGGGGCTTGCTCGCTGGAGCTGCTCGACACGGCGAGGCGAGGCGATTGCACGTCGCCGCCCGACAGTCTGCTCTGCGTCGTTGCGGCACAAAAGCCCCAAGACACTTGCTTGCCGCCCTTTGTGTGTCGGCGCGCGCAGAAACAATTTAATGGATTTTAGGAGGAAAAGGGGTTAGAGGGTAGCGGAGAAGGGTAACTGGGCCGGGGGTGACGGGACTGGCACTCGGGGGTAGGGGTTGGGGAGGTCGCTCGACCACGGCCCTCCCTTACTCATTGGCTCTCGGCGGCGCCATCTGGCCGCCGCTGCTGCTGCCCGCTGCTGCCCGTCAGCCGCTATACTTGAAGGTCAGCGCGCTGTCAGTCCGTTAATTATTTCTATTCGCTGCGCCTGGGACATCTCGCGCTCTAGTTCAGCCTCACGTCAGCCGGCGGCGCGGGCTGCACTTTGCTCGCGTCTGTCAGTCGGTCTGTCAGTGAGCCCGGCCCGGCAGTCGAGTCAAGTTCCGCTGACATGTCAGGCGTGTCAACGCACCGCGCGCCGCCCTCACTTCTTTCAGCCACGCTCGCCCTCGCTCCCCCCGGGACGTGTCCGCAATGGGGTGGGGGTTGGGGGAGGGTGGACCTCCCCTGGCGCAGCAACACGATGTGACACAAAGTTGTCTCCTGGTCTCCAGGCATGACTGCGGTGGGTGAGTCCGCCCGACCGAGGTAGTGCGGGAAAGAAACCTCGTCCTCTATATACGCTTACGTCTATATACGCGCCCACAAGTCCCCGTACGGTGTCCTCTCTCACCACAGACCATGTTTGACATTTACCGTGTTTCGAAAAGAGACAATTCGGCCTCTAGCGTTTTCCTGAAACCTTTCTCCTCATTGTTATTGTGGGTGGATGCCGCACTCTTTTATTTGTAGAGTCGCGCCCCTGCCGGCCCCACCACCTTCCGCCTCCCCCAGCCTCCGCCTGCTCCCCGCTCACCGATAGATATTCACTCCCACGGCCGTGCGTGCGTGCGTACACTCCGCCTTTGGCTCATGAATTTCATTCGCCCTTTTGCGTCGGTCCCGACCGCCCCGCCCGCCCCGCCCGCCTCTACCCCTTGAGGGGCGCCCCGCCCCGCGGCTGCTGCCCGAATGGAACGAAGCGGGCCGCAGCGCGTGCTCTCTCCCTCTCTCTCATTCGCTCACTCGAGCTAATGAGTGGGACAGAGAGGGGCGATAGTAGCAACGAGGTCCTCTCTCGCTCACTATCTCTCTTTGCGCACGTCTCGTCTCTCTCTCCTCCAAATAGATCAAATTGTGTGACGTCGCTGGTGAATGTAATTTGTAGCTCGCCTCTCTCTGATTGGTACGCAGAACCGTGCGAGACGGAGACGGCGCCGGCAGGGTCGCGGCAGAAAACGGGAGGGAGTGCGAGACAGACAGACAGACAGACAGACAGACAGACAGACAGACAGACAGACAGACAGACAGAGGGGTGTATTTCAGGTGGAAGGTCGGCACGTGCCCTGCACTCTCTCCCCGGCCGCGGTGCACACTGCGGGCGCGGTGCGCTCTTCCCGCTCCTTTACTTCTCCACCACTTTCCGATTTTTGCCTCGGCCTGTACCGTATCCGCTATGTATTCCGGTGGCGCCCACCCCGGCCCCGGCCGCCTCCACTTTTAGTGCGCGTGCCCGGGGCTCGGACCGGAGCCGAGCCGAGGAGCAACAGTACCGCAACTTAGCGTCAATAAAATATAGCCTCGCTGCTGCAGCCGGCCGGCGTGGCCCCGGGCCTCTGCCCTCGCTGGGCGGCTGGCCGGGGCCGTGATTCGTCTTGCGGGGGGCGGGGGCGGGCCGGACGTGCTCGCTACGCACGCGCGCACACTCACGCACATCGCAGCGATATAGTTGGAATTCCTCTGCTGCTGAAACCTCGGCGTCCTCGTGTGCCGCTTCGCTTTTCCTGTTCCACCTACCTCATTAGCCGGCCGCAAGGCGGGTGCTTTTGCCGGTTCAGTCTCCGAATGCGCTTTGGTTTGCGCCGCCCTGCCGTCTGCATGCACACCACGCCTCTCCACGCCGCCACGCCCCGCCACGCCCCGCCACGCCACACGCCCGACACAACGCCAAGCGCCACCGCAACGGAGCACCATGCCGCCGCCACCGCCGGCAACGGCCCAACCCCTGGCTATACGCCCCGGCCCGAGCCCGTTCCAATCCAACAAAGTTAACTTGTTGTTGTTGTCGGGTTGTTGTTGCTGAGTGGGATTGTGCGGTCGGTCGGGTTTCGGTTCGGAACAGTATCGCGCTAACAAATTCGCACGGCTCGGCCGGCACCGCAGCCCAGCACGCCACACGTCGGGGAGGGGGTGGTGTAGGGCAGGGGTGTGGGGCAGAAGGGCCAGGAGTTCCCTCTTCAAATTGAAACCCACTTGTTCTGGGACCTGGGCCCGGGCCTTTGTGGCCGGCCGGCCCCAGGCTTCCCCAGCCCAGGTGTGCACAGGCCGGTCGTGTGCAGCTGTGTCGGCCGGCAGGTGTGGCCAGGTGCGCGGGGGCAGCTGCGGGGGCCCCCGGGGAGGGGGCGGGCAAAGTGATGGGGGTATTGTATCCCCCTCAGCGGTACGTGTGTGTATCTCACGTTGAATAGTGGCTGCGGGGCGGGGGCGTAGCCGGGCGTGGTGGGTGGTGGGGCGCGGTGGGGAGATGTTCCGTCCGGGTGAGCCCGTATCCCCCCAGCAGCCCCCCCTCACACTGCCGGGTCGGCTGAATCGTTCT